CAATAAAATCTTCTGTAGAAGTCTGACAGAAATAAAGTCAGTCTGGTTAGTAATAAGTGAAGCTGCTGTTTGTGGAGTTGTTTAATCCTCCTCTGTGGAGATCTTCAGATTTAATGTCTTCTCTTCAGGTGATTTCATCTGTGTCGTCTCTTTTTCTATTCTCTTCAGAGGAGTAAAGTCCAGGTTCAGAAAGTAAAAGTCCGCCTCAGTATTTTGTTCCAATCACCTGGATTTGCTTATTAGCAGTTTTTCAGTCAGGAGACAGAAATCAGCCCTAATCAGTGGTGTAGTCTACGTGATACGCAGGTATACGCCGTATACCCACTAGAAAATGTCAAGGATTTGCGTATGCCCACTAGGAAATGTCAAAGATCTCCGTATGCCCACTTTAAAAAGCGTGAGGATTCGTAACAACATCGTTTTGTGAAATACATTTCCTACGACATCAGCCCCCCTAAACGTTGGCGACAGAATTCCGTGTTCCCTAAGTAAGTTCTGTTATCAGATTCAGCGCGCGAGCAGAGAGCACGTCAAAAACAGAGGACAGGGTGTGTGTGTGTGTGTGTGTGTTCGTGTTCATCTGAGCCTCATTGGTCTGTCACTGCTCGTCATATGTCAAAATATTTGAGATGACAAATCAAATCAAAGTAGGCGGGCTTTATATTCACAGACGCTGAGCGCGAATTTCAGCAGAGCTACTCGACGCTTCAGTTTACGGGCAAGTGCGAGATAAGATGTAAGTGGCTAAACTTCATATTTTACATTTTTTTAGGTCATAAATGTTAAACGAATGACAAAAAAAAAAAATAACCAGGCAAACTAATATAGTTTTTGTCTAATTTCGCCATTTTGAACTGAAATAAATAGGCCTGTAACGTGACTCGTGCAATTTAATAGTTTCCCACATAGCAAACAGATCCGGAACGGATCTGCCGCGGAGGTAAGAACCAGGTCCGGAACGGAGTCCACTTGCACAGCGCAACGGATCCGGAACAGATCCGGATTGCGGATCCAGACTAGATCCGCGGCAGACCCTATCCGATCTGAACCTGTTCATTTTGGTCTGAAAACCTTTCAGATCACTCATTCAAAACTAGTAATCTGGCCAAAACTACAAAAATACTGTATTTCAAATCTATTGGTGGACCAACATTAGATAGACTGCCCACTAAACAACATGATGTCCAAAAGATGTCTTTTCAACGTCTTTGTCACAAAAGTCGGATGCTGAAAAGACGTCCACTGAGTTTTTATGACGTGTTTTTATGACGTGTTCTGCACGTCCGATATAGACGTTCATCGAACCTTCGTACAAGTTTAAAAACTAGGTCAAATGTTGGCCATTGAGTTTAAAACTCATGTTTAAATCAATGTCATTTCCTTACATTGTTTAGATGAGGTTTAGATGTTATGTTTCATTTTAAGTTACCATTGTGGTGATGAGTGTTTGCTTTAGTTGGGTCTTGGTCCCAATTCTTCTTACTTTAACTTTACTTTGGTTGTAGTAACTGTGTGATTGTATAACACTATTGATGTTGCACAGAAAGCCAAGAAAAAGTGAGATGCTGGCATCAGCTTGTTGATTATCATTGCTAAGTCACAAAGTGAGCATTTGATGTTGTGTTTAGACTTTAGTCTTTATTTCTGCCATTTATAACCACCTATCTTGTGGAACTGTGTTATTGGTATACCATTAAAATTAGCACTTATTTGAAGGTGAATAAAAAAAAGCTTGTTTAAACAATGTTATTAGGAAATTTACCTTATAGTCACACACAGACATCAAGATTTTGCGTATGTATCACAAGAACGGTGACAATAAAAAAAGCTTCATGCTGCAATGCATGATGGGTAGTTTTCAAAGTACAAAACATCCTTGATTCCCAAGCTTTTTTGTTTTGGTTGTCACCGTTGTTGAGAATCATGTGCAAAATCGTGATGTCTGTGTGTGACTATGTGATATATTTGCTCAAAACATTGTGTACACATGATTTTTATTGACCTTCAAATAAGCGATAATTTTAATGGTACTGGTCCAATTAACACAGTTCCACAAAATAGGTGGTTATAAACAGCAGATATAAGGACAAAAGTCTACAAAAAAGCTCGCTTTGTGTTTTTGTCATCATCAACAAGGAGCCGATGACAGCCAATTTTATTTTTTCTTGGCTTTCTATGCAACAACAATAGTGTTATACAAACACACAGTTACAACAACCAAAGAGAAGTTAAAGTAAGAGGAATTGGGACCAAGAGCCCAACTAAAGCAAACACTCATCACCACAATGGTGACTTAAAATGAAACATATCAACATCTAAACCTCATCTAAACAATGTAAGGAAATGACATTGATATAAACATGAATTTTAAACACGATGGCCACATTTGACCTAGTTTTTAAACTTGTACGAAGGTTCGATGAACGTCTACATCGGACGTGCAGAACACGTCATAAAAACTTTAATTCTGGCTCTTCAGTGGACGTCTTTTCAGCATCCGACTTTTGTGACAAAGACGTTGAAAAGACATCTTTTGGACATCATGTTGTTTAGTGGGCAGTCTATCTAATGTTGGCCCACCAATAGATTTGAAATATTTTTGTAGTTTTGGCCAGATTACTAGTTTTGAATGAGTGATCTGAAAGGTTTTCAGACCGAAATGAACGGGTCCAGATCGGATCCGGATAGGGTCTGCCGCGGATCTAGTCTGGATCCACAATCCGGATCTGTTCCGGATCCGTTGCGCTGTGCAAGTGGACTCCGTTCCGGACCTTGTTCTTACCTCCGCGGCAGATCCGTTCCGGATCTGTTTGCTATGTGGGTTGTTATTGCGAGGGGACAAGAAACATTAACAAAGCCGTTTTCATCATTTTAGCCACAAGAGTAATAACGAATGTGTACATATTGAGAATATAATAAAAATTGTAGCCTTTAGTATACATTAAAAAAGCTCAGCCTTCGGAGGGGAAGAGAATGTACTGCCCACTGACATGGTTTTAAAGCTATTTCTTATTCTTTTTTTGGTCTTCAAACGTCTTGAAATGCACATCAGAGAAATTAAAAAAAATTTGAAGCCCCAACCTCAAATTTAGGACCTCTTTGATTATAAAGCCCTGTCTATGGCCCTGTAAGATCAATAATGAATGTGTAGCCTATATGTTTTGAATGCATTTAATAAACTTAATTACCTAGCTTTAGTAGCTTTCAGTGAATAAACGTGTCAGAGAAAAAATATTTATAGGGAAAATCCACCTATCAGTTGACCCCATGTTTACTGTCTTCACTGACTGATAAAAATGAAAAGCCTATATCAGTCAAAGCTCATCTTTAGGAGGGGAAGAGACAGGGCAAGATAAAAACAAAGAGAAAAAGAGGGTGATGCTGATGTGGAGAGAGAAATAATCAGCTGCCCAGTGCCCACTGACATGGTTTTAAAGCTGTTATCTATTTATTTATTTTTTTTGGCATTCAAAACATCCTAAAATGCACATATATGTAGATCAGAGAAATAAAAATTTTCTCAGGGAAACCCTGAATCCCCATGACTAACCTACCTCACATTTGGGACAACAGTGATTATAAAACCCTGCCTTTGCATGTAATGAAACTGGTTAATAGTGAGCATTAGATCCCAAACTAAAGTGTTACCTTTTTTTTTAGAACAAATCCTAAGTAATGATCAAAATCCTATGACGACCCTGCTTCATGCAACCTGTCAAAATCAACGTTTTGTATCACTTGAAGAAAATATAAAAGAAATATATTACTATTGCACAGTAGAGTATAGGCCTATTTCAAGAAGGCCTAATAATACAAATAATAGTTTATTAAAACACACCGAAGCTCAAATTTACAACAGTTTATAGAGATAAATAAAGTAACTCGATGGAATTATGAAAGAAATTGCATAGTAAAATGTAATTTTTAAGATAATAATCAAATCTATTAAAACAGAATTCTAAAGGAATATCACACAAGTTTTGAAATTTTTTCGCAAATGGGTGGTGGTGGCAGTGGCGGGGGGGGGGGGGGATGCTGGTATATCACAGTATACTCACTACAAAAAAGTAGACTACACCACTGGCCCTAATCAACTGTCAATCAGTTCATGGCTGAAAGTAAGACATGGCAGAATTTCTACTTTCTACTTCTAGTTTATACAACACTGATTATTTTACTTCCATACACTTCTACCTCAGATTCAGCCAATCACACGCTCCAAAAGCACACTTCTACCTCAGATATTGTATGTATATACATGCATACAAGAATCAAAAGTTTAAACTAAAACACTCAATATTCACTCAATATATCAGTTTACATTTATACGCAATATCTCACAGAGTCTAATTTCACAATAAATTTCTGCAAAAATTTTCACTTTAGTATTTTGTGATCTGATGAAGATGAAGATCTCTCCTCCTCTGTTTTATTTGCTGATGAAGATGATGTGACTTTACAGAATAAAGAGTCTCTAATTTTCTTAGCAACCTTGTCTGACTCCTCTTTGTTGGGAGAAAAATTCTGTTCGTCTATTCCCTATTTTTACAGCACATGTGTTGTTTTTATACATGGTGTTGATCAAATCAAATGTTTTCCCTCCAATCCCATTTTCCAGTAGTTTTAGGAAGAGTCCTTCGTGCTAGATCGAATCGAAAGCCTTCTCAAAGTCAATAAAGCAAGCAAAGATTTTGGATTTATTTTGGTATACATGTTTATCAATGATCGTGTGAAGTGTGTAAATGTGGTCAGATGTTCTGTGTTTGGGCAGAAATCCAATTTGACTTTTGTCCAGAATTTTGTGGGTTTTGAGAAATGTTTGCAGTCTTATATTAATAATCGAACAGAATATTTTCCCCAGGTTGCTATTGACACATATGCTCTCTCTCTCTCTCTCTCTCTCTCTCTCTCTCTCTCTCTCTCTCTCTCTCTCTCTCTCTCTCTCTCTCTCTCTCTCTCTCTCTCTCTCTCTCTCTCTCTCTCTCTCTCTGCTAATGTAGGTTAAGAGACTGTGATATGACAGATGAAGGTTGTTCTGATGTGACTTCAGCTCTGAAATCAAACCCATCACACCTGAGAGAGCTGGACCTGAGCTGGAATAATCTAGGAAACTCTGGAGTGAAAAACCTCAGTGATCTACTGATGAACCCACAATTCAAGCTGGAGAAACTACAGTTAGTGTCATTATACTGTACAGCAATTACAGTGTGACTGAAGTTTATTTATTTGAAGACAGCAGGGCTTATGTTTCATTGGTTATAGCAGTGCACTTTCTGGGGGTTTACTTATTGCTCACATTTTTTTTATAGTTCTTTATCTTTTCACAGTTTTTTATCTGGTTAGTAGAGTGTAGTTTGTATTTTTTTTTTATTCCCAGCATCTGATATTCCCAGAAATCTGCATTTTCAACAGAGAATAAAGAAGAGAGATGTCAAATAAATAGTGTCTTCCAGCGCACAGAACTATTGTGACTGGGTTTTAAAACAGACTATTGGAAACTAAATGCTGCTGTAGCTCTTCAATAAGATGATCATCATAGATGTGAACTATTGTTATTTCTCTGTCTTCAGTCTGTATGGATGCATTACAGAGGAACAGAGTCTCATCCTGACTTCAGCTCTGAAATCAAACCCGTCACACCTGAGAGAGCTGGACCTGAGCAGGAATAAACTAGGAAACACAGGAGTGAAGCACTTATGTGCCGTACTGAAGGATTCACACTGTAAACTGGAGAGATTGAGGTCAGTCACATTCACATACAAGAATCAAAATGCTTAAAATCACTTCAACTGTTTAAACAAGAACACATTAACATTATATTTGTACAAACATTTTCACCTTAGTATTTTGTCATCTGGTGAAATAAAGATGAAGATCTCTCTTCCTCTGTCTGTTTTATTTGCTGATGAAGATGATGTGACTTTACAGAATAAAGAGTCTCTTATTTTCTTCATTCTCTCTCTCTCTCTCTCTCTCTCTCTCTCTCTCTCTCTCTCTCTCTCTCTCACACTTCCGGTGTGTCTGGGTGCGAGGTGAGCGAGTGAAGCGTGACTGGAGAGCTTGTGAGTGATTTTGTCTTTTTCTATCTTTTCCCCTTGCTGGGTTTTCTGGACTTTTCTATTGATTAAATTGTTGGGCCGCTTGCTTTCCACTCTGTTGGGAAGCATGTCGGACCCACGCGTGCAGGGTTTGAACACACTCACGCGGCGTAATGCGGTTAAAGTAGCCGCCGCGGTGAGTGTGGAGGAATGTTGCCTTGCTATTGGTGAGGTTGTAGGGCATGGGAGCGTACTATCCGCCTCCAGAATGAATAGTGCTGTGGTAGTGTTTCTCAGTAGCGTAGATAAAGTCAATGAAGTAGTTGAACATGGTATAATAATTGGCGGTGATTTTGTCTCTGTTCTTCCCCTTTCATTACCCGCCAAGAGAGTAACTTTGTCCAATGTTCCACCGTTTGTAAGCGATGAAATTTTGACACAGTCTTTATCTCGTTATGGAAAATTGGTATCGCCGATCAAGAAGATCCCAATTAATAGCGATTCTCCCTTGTTGAAACACATTGTTTCGTTCAGGCGTTTCGTTTATATGATTATTCAGGACGATTAGGGCTGGGCGATATATCGAACGATATTGAATGCGCATCTAATCAGTAAAGCCGGTTCCTTGATTAGCAGTAAATCTCCTTCACCTGCTTTCAGATGGAGCGGCATTCACTACAAAGAGCCGTAGATCACTGACAAGCTGAGCCAAATCGCGTTAATATCGAGGACATATCGATATCGATATTTAATGCGATATGGCTCAGCTGGTCAGTGAACTACGGCTCTTCGTCAGGACAAAACCTCCCGTGTTAAACTAACACACCTGGGAGTGTATATGAGTCCACACTCAAGAGTGTTAAAGTTAATGAGATAATTAAGTGATTAAATGAGTGATGATTGAGCATTATTGAAGACACCTAAAGCAGAATCACAAGGAAAAAATCTAAAATTTTAAGCCACCGTTATGGAGATGAGTGTTTGCTTTAGTTGGGCTCTTGACCCTTATATTATTAACTTTATATTTTAATTTGCTGTTGCGTCTGAGTTATTTCTATAAGATGAACAAAAATAAACAATAATAAAATGGTTTTGGTCATATAATGACATTTTTCATTTGAAATTTATGTAATTATATATATAATATTTATAATAAAGTTTATTTATAAAATTTATAATAAAGTTTATTTATAAAATTTATAACATATAATTTATTATATGTATAATTTATATTATTAGATTCTGAATAAATGTCCAGAATGTTAAAAATAATAGACAGTTTTCTCAAAAGATGTTTAAAAAAAAACCCTTCCTTTAGGCACACACAGACCTCAAGATTCAGTCAATGCTTCTCAACAACGGTGACGAGTAGAATATTCAAGTAGGAAAAGTAAATTACATAGACAATTCAGATCATAATTTTTTCAAACCGCAATGCATGATGGGAGCCATTAATGAGTTGTGATTGGTGGCAAAGAGGATTAATTTCGCCACCACAGTTGAGATAGACAGGCTGATTATTGATCTCTGTGTTTCTAAATAAGCATGAAAGTGATTTGATCAGAATAATATTTATTAATTAATTTATGTTAAAAGTAAAATACATATATGCAGTACAATGATTAAAATCTTGCTAACAAGTTAAGCCAAATCATCTGAAAAGTTTCATTTTATAGATCACAGCATGATTATGTCAAAACATAACCAACACTATCAGATCAAAGATGTCTTATTTGACTGCTATCAATAACAGCAGACACAAAATTTAAAGTGAAAGTATAAGTGTCAAGAGCCCAACTAAAGCAAACACTGATCTCCATAACGGTGGCTTACAATTTGTGATTTTGTCCTTCAGCGATTCTGCTTGTGATCATCAGGTGTCTTCAATAATGCTCAATCATCACTAAATTAATCACTTAATTATCTCATTAACTTTAACACTCATATCGTCCATTTGAAAGCATGTGAAGATGATTTACTGCTAATCAAGGAACCGGCTTTACTGATTAGATGCGCATAACAATATCGTTCGATATATCGCCCAGCCCTAAGGACGATACAGAGTTAGACATGACACTTAATTTTCGAATTGACAACTTTGATTATGTTATTTTTGTGACTACCGCGAAATCAAAGTGTTTTGGTTGCGGTAAATCTGGACATTTAATTCGTAATTGTCCTGACAAAGTTGCAGAAAAGGAAGTAAACGCAGTGAATGGGAGTATTGAAGGTGATGGTAACGTGGATGGGGTTGCTAACACTGCGTTAGTTGGGGAGGCGGCGGCTGAGGGTGTTCCCGGTGAGAGTGTTGTTGCGTCTACTTCACTGCGCTGTGAGCATTCGGAGTCGGGCACGGTGCCCATTAAAATGTGTGTAGAGGCAAGCGTTGAGGATGTGCCGAGTGTGGCACCGAGTTCTGAAAATAATCATGTTGCGCAAACAGGAAGTGAGAATAACTTGGGGATTTTACAAAACGAATGTGTAAAGGAAAGTGTGGAGAAAGAACATTTGTTTAAAATGCCGTCCAACAAAAGGAAAATAATTGAAAAAATAGTTGATGCCAAAATAAGTAAAACGAGTGAAATGCAAGAAAACATGGATCAAGATACAGAAAGCGATGATGGGTCTTCTGACTCCAGAGTGCTCTAATCATGTCTATAAAAGTTTTACTAAAACCAAAAGCTGTTAGCGTACTCCACAAATATGAGTGCTCCACTCGGTCAAAAGCCTTCTCCTGATCCAAGGATATCAAGCCACAGTCTAAATTTAACAACTTTGAGACATGAAAAATATCTCGAATCAAAGAAATATTATCAACTATTGATCTACTAGGGACACAGTACGTCTGATCTGGATGGATAACCCATCCCAATACTCCAGCCAGTCTGGTACTCAATGCTTTAGAAAGAATTTTATAATCACTGCAGAGAAGCGAGACAGGGCGCCAGTTCTTAATATCAGTCAGGTCCCCCTTTTTTGGAATTAGAGTGATCACCGCTCTTCGGCAACTCAATGGCAACCCACCCTTCGACAAGCTGTCCTTGAGTACCTCCAGCAGATCTACACCCATTTCCAACCAAAAAACCTTGTAGAAGTCAACTGGGATGCCATCCATTCCTGGAGCACTCCCAGACGTCATGGTTTGCAGGGCCTTATATAGCTCTTCCAGGGTCAGCACACCTTCGAGCTCATCGTTGACTTCCTCTGACAGCTTTGGTAAATTGTCAAGGAAAACATTGTCAACGCCACACTCTGACTTAAGCTCGCTCCTATACAAATTTTGAAAAAAATTAACTGCTCTTCCCCCGAATACTGGCCAGATCTGTCAATAACACTCCATCTTCGGAGCGCAAACCATGAATAAACCTTTTCTGACCATTCTTTTTTTCCAAATTGAAAAAATATTGGGACGGTGCATCCATCTGATCAATGCTCTGGAAACGTGAACGGACCAGAGCCCCCTGTATCTTATGCCCCAGCAGATCAGCTAACTGAGCTTTCTTCCTTGAACAGGCTTCCAAATTAACTTCCTTTCCTGTAGAATTTGCCAAATTTTGAGATTCAATTATCTCTCCCTCCAAAAGCTGTAATGAACGAGTCAACTCCTTAGTAACGTTGTGAGTATACTGTTGTGTAAACTGCCTTATTTGTATCTTACCAACATCCCACCACTGTTGCAATGAATAAAAAGAAGACTTCTTTTTCCTGTAAACATCCCAGAAGTACTTAAATGACTCCTTAAAAAAATTATCACTTAACAAATTGGTATTAAAATGCCAATATGCACTTTTTGGTTTTATTGAGCTCAAAATAAGCTTACAGTGCACCATACTGTGATCCGAAAAACTTACTGGTGTTATATAACATTTGCACAGTAAATTCCCCGGTGTTAAATTTAACACCGCTCGGTGTTTATATGGGAACCACCAGCAGGGTGTTAAAAGTAACACTGATACAGTGTTAAAGTTAATGAGATAATTAAGTGAATAATTGAGTGATGATTGAGCATTATTGAAGACACCTGATGTTAACAAGCAGAATCACTGAAGGACAAAATCACAAATTGTAAGCCACCGTTATGAAGATCAGTGTTTGCTTTAGTTGGGCTCTTGACACTTATACTTTCACTTTAAATTTGTTTGTCTGCTTTTATTAATTTATAACAGTCAAATGAACAAAGAAAACTGTGATCTGACATTGTCGGTTATGTTTTGACATAATCATGCTGTGATCTGAAAAATCTAACTTTTCAGATGAATTGGCTTAACTTGTTAGTAACAGTTTAGTGATTGTGCAGCATATCCGTATTTTTCTTTTAACCGAAAATATTTAATAACAACTTTTCTGATCAAATCACTTTCAACTTTATTTAGAAACACAGACATAAATAGTCAGCCTGTGTATCTCAACCATGGTGACATTAATAATCCTTGTTTCCACCAATCACAACTCATTAATGGCTCCCATCATGCATTGCGGTATGAATAAATTATGATCTGAATTGTCTATGTAATTTACTTTTCCTAATTTAATATTCTGCTCGTCACCATTGTTGAGAAGCATTGACTGAATTTTGAGGTTTATGTGTGCCTATAAGAAGTTTTTTTTTTTAACAACTTGTAGAAATCCATTATATTATATCTGACATTCTGGATATTTATGTAGAATCTCAGTTATGTTGTGACCTAGAAACTTAACCACGAACATATATTTCAAATGAATGTCATAATATGACCAACACCATCATATAAATTGTCTCTTTGTTCATCTGGCAGGTATAACTCAGATGCAACTGCCAATTAAAATGTAAAGTAAAGTTAATAATAAAAGGGTCAAGAGCCCAACTAAAACAAACACTCACCTCCATAACGGTGACCTGAAAGTTAGGTTTTCTCCTTGTAATTCTGCTTTAGGTGTCTTCAATAATGCTCAATCTTCACTCAATTAATCACTTAATTATCTCATTAACTCTAACACTGCCTCAGTGTTACTTTTAACACCCTGCTGGTGGTTCCCATATAAACACCGAGCGGTGTTAATTTAACACCAGGGAATTTACTGTGTGTTGAAAATACTAAGATGGTGATTAAAACTGTAAAATCTGTCCAACCAAAGACATAGCCCTATCACGCGTGTGTACCCAAGTGTACTGTCTTTCATTTCCATTTAAAGATCTCCAAACATCACATAAATCATACTTTTTTATAATATGAATTAAGCGTTTACGTGAAGCCAAATGAGGCTCAATGTGATTCTGATCTAGATTATTCTCCGTACAATTAAAATCACCACCAAGGAACAAGAAGTCTTCAGAACAACAGTTATGTAGAGTTGAGCATAATATGTCTAAAAAAGCCATTCTTTCGACAGGTGTAGTTGGAACATATACACAAATAAAAATAAACACATAACTTTCAATAACAGCTCTAACTTTTAAAAGCCTTCCTTTTATTATCTCATCAACATCATAAGATATGGGACTAAAATTCTTTGCAAATAAAATGGCTACTCCCCCACTTAATGAAGTGTTATGGCTTAACACAGTGATGCCATCAAACTCCCTTTTCCAGTCAACAGCATTTTTTAAATCGCTATGAGTTTCTTGTAATAAAACAATATCAAAATTGTTTTGCCTAATTACTTCATATATTGTAGCTCTTTTTCCAGAGTCTCTTGCCCCATTAACATTCAAAGTTGCTACATGCACTTCACTCATAAAAAATAATAAGGAAAAGAAACCCCACCCAACAAGCCACAACACATCAGCCATTTTATTTTTACATTTAACTGACATCATTGATTAAAGCAGTATTAAGATTCCTCACAATTTTCTTAAGTCTATAGACTTCTTTATTTGTAAAGCAACTCTCTGCCATTAGGGTTTTTGCCTTTTCGGCGAACTGTTTAACATCAGGAAAATATTCCTTCACACTCACTCCTCTTTTATTTTTTGTTGATCTGAGGAATAATTTAATATCCTCAAGTCTATATTCCCGACCACTAAACTCCCCCTGAGAAAGTGTCACACTAGAGGAGACATTTAACTTCTGATTGGGTCAGGGTTGGGCCGGGGGCAGTGGAATTATTTAATGCTTTGGCTAGTTCGTTTATATATATGTTAAATAGAGTGGGGCTCAATGGACAACCTTGTCTGACTCCTCTTTGTTGGGAGAAAAATTCTGTTCGTCTATTCCCTATTTTTACAGCACATGTGTTGTTTTTATACATGGTGTTGATCAAATCAAATGTTTTCCCTCCAATCCCATTTTCCAGTAGTTTTAGGAAGAGTCCTTCGTGCTAGATCGAATCGAAAGCCTTCTCAAAGTCAATAAAGCAAGCAAAGATTTTGGATTTATTTTGGTATACATGTTTATCAATGATCGTGTGAAGTGTGTAAATGTGGTCAGATGTTCTGTGTTTGGGCAGAAATCCAATTTGACTTTTGTCCAGAAGTTTGTGGGTTTTGAGAAATGTTTGCAGTCTTATATTAATAATCGAACAGAATATTTTCCCCAGGTTGCTATTGACATATGCTCTCTCTCTCTCTCTCTCTCTCTCTCTCTCTCTCTCTGCTAATGTAGGTTAAGAGACTGTGATATGACAGATGAAGGTTGTTCTGATGTGACTTCAGCTCTGAAATCAAACCCGTCACACCTGAGAGAGCTGGACCTGAGCTGGAATAATCTAGGAAACTCTGGAGTGAAAAACCTCAGTGATCTACTGATGAACCCACAATTCAAGCTGGAGAAACTACAGTTAGTGTCATTATACTGTACAGCAATTACAGTGTGACTGAAGTTTATTTATTTGAAGACAGCAGGGCTTATGTTTCATTGGTTATAGCAGTGCACTTTCTGGGGGTTTACTTATTGCTCACATTTTTTTATAGTTCTTTATCTTTTCACAGTTTTTTATCTAGTTAGTAGAGTGTAGTTTGTATTTTTTTTTTATTCCCAGCATCTGATATTCCCAGAAATCTGCATTTTCAACAGAGAATAAAGAAGAGAGATGTCAAATAAATAGTGTCTTCCAGCGCACAGAACTATTCCCACATAGCAAACAGATCCGGAACGGATCTGCCGCGGAGGTAAGAACCAGGTCCGGAACGGAGTCCACTTGCACAGCGCAACGGATCCGGAACAGATCCGGATTGCGGATCCAGACTAGATCCGCGGCAGACCCTATCCGGATCCGATCTGGACCCGTTCATTTTGGAATGAAAACCTATCAGATCACTCATTCAAAACTAGTAATCTGGCCAAAACTACAAAAATATTTCAAATCTATTGGTGGGCCAACATTAGATAGACTGCCCACTAAACAACATGATGTCCTTGTCACAAATGTCTTTGTCACAAAAGTCGTATGCTGAAAAGACGTCCACTGAGGAGCCAGAATTAAAGTTTTTATGACGTGTTTTTTTGACGTGTTCTGCACGTCCGATGTAGACGTTCATCGAACCTTCGTACAAGTTTAAAAACTAGGTCAAATGTGGCCATCGTGTTTAAAACTCATGTTTATATCAATGTCATTTTCTTACATTGTTTAGATGAGGTTTAGATGTTGATATGTTTCATTTTAAGAAACCATTGTGGTGATGAGTGTTTGCTTTAGTTGGGCTCTTGGTCCCAATTCATCTTACTTTAACTTTACTTTGGTTGTAGTAACTGTGTGAATGTATAACACTATTGTTGTTGCACAGAAAGCCAAGAAAAAGTGAGATGCTGGCATCAGCTTGTTGATTATCATTGCTAAGTCACAAAGTGAGCATTTGATGTTGTGTTTAGACTTTAGTCTTTATTTCTGCCATTTATAACCACCTATCTTGTGGAACTGTGTTATTTGTATACCATTAAAATTAGCACTTATTAGAAGGTGAATAAAAAAAAGCTTGTTAAACAATGTTATTAGGAAATTTACCTTATAGTCACACACATACATCAAGATTTTGCGTATGTATCACAAGAACGGTGACAATAAAAAAAGCTTCATGCTGCAATGCATGATGGGTAGTTTTCAAAGTACAAAAAATCCTTGATTCCCAAGCTTTTTTTGTTTTGGTTGTCACCGTTGTTGAGAATCATATGCAAAATCGTGATGTCTGTGTGTGACTATGTGACATATTGGCTCAAAACATTGAGTACACATGATTTTTATTGACCTTCAAATAAGCAACAATTGTAATGGTGCTGGTCCAAATAACGCAGTTCCACAAAATAGGTGGTTATAAACAGCAGATATAAGGACAAAAGTCTAAACACATCATTAAAAGCTCTCTTTGTGTTTTTGTCATCATCAACAAGGAGCTGATGACAGCCGATTTTACTTTTTCTTGGCTTTCTATGCAACAACAATAGTGTTATACAAACACACAGTTACAACAACCAAAGTAAAGTTAAAGTAAGAAGAATTGGGACCAAGAGCCCAACTAAAGCAAACACTCATCACCACAATGGTTTCTTAAAATGAAACATATCAACATCTAAACCTCATCTAAACAATGTAAGGAAATGACATTGATATAAACATGAGTTTTAAACACGATGGCCACATTTGACCTAGTTTTTAAACTTGTACGAAGGTTCGATGAACGTCTACATCGGACGTGCAGAACACGTCAAAAAAACACGTCATAAAAACTTTAATTCTGGCTCCTCAGTGGACGTCTTTTCAGCATACGACTTTTGTGACAAAGACATTTGTGACAAGGACATCATGTTGTTTAGTGGGCAGTCTATCTAATGTTGGCCCACCAATAGATTTGAAATATTTTTGTAGTTTTGGCCAGATTACTAGTTTTGAATGAGTGATCTGAAAGGTTTTCAGACCGAAATGAACGGGTCCAGATCGGATCCGGATAGGGTCTGCCGCGGATCTAGTCTGGATCCGCAATCCGGATCTGTTCCGGATCCGTTGCGCTGTGCAAGTGGACTCCGTTCCGGACCTTGTTCTTACCTCCGCGGCAGATCCGTTCCGGATCTGTTTGCTATGTGGGTTGTGACTGGGTTTTAAAACAGACTATTGGAAGCTAAATGCTGCTGTAGCTCTTCAATAAGATGATCATCATAGATGTGAACTATTGTTATTTCTCTGTCTTCAGTCTGTATGGATGCAGTATTACAGAGAAACAGAGTCTCATCCTGACTTCAGCTCTGAAATCAAACCCGTCACACCTGAGAGAGCTGGACCTGAGCAGGAATAAACTAGGAAACACAGGAGTGAAGCACTTATGTGCCGTACTGAAGGATTCACACTGTAAACTGGAGAGATTGAGGTCAGTCACATTCACATACAAGAATCAAAATGCTTAAAATCACTTCAACTGTTTAAACAACACTCAAAAAAATGATGTGTTGGCTTTACTTAACTTTTTCATGTAAACAGGTTCCACCGGTTCCACATAACTTTGTTTTGTTAAACAAACATAATTTGTTCATGTAACTTCAACATCATGGAAGTCATTTTAAACCATCCAATCAAACTCTGAGCTGAGTGTTAAAGTTAATGAGACAATTAAGTGAATAATTGAGTGATGATTGAGCATTATTGAAGACACCTGATGTTAACAAGCAGAATCACTGAAGGAGAAAACCAGAATTTTAAGTCACCGTTATGGAGATCAGTGTCTACTTTAGTTGGTCTCTTGACCCCTATATTATTAACTTCAGATTATGTTTGGCTGTATATGAGTTATAACAGCCAGATGATCACATAGAAAAGATGGAACTGGGGATTGAACCACCAAACTTACGGTTTGTAGTCAAACTGCATGCACCACTGTTAAATTTACTTTATGGATCATACCAGCACTGCTGTTGTAGAACATACAATTTTAGCCTTTTCAATGAAATTCAAATGATCAAATCAATAAACAAAAAAAAATTCTGGGTGCCACCAATCAAAATTCATTCATGGCTCCCATCATGCATTGCTGCATGAATAAATAATGAGCTTAAGACACCTAAAGCAGAATCACAAGGAAAAAAAATTGAAAATTGTAAGTCACCGTTATTGAGATCAGTGTTTGCTTTAGTTGGGCTCTTCACCCTTATATTATTAACTTTATATTTGAATTTACTGTTGCATCTAGGTAATACCTGCCTGATGAACAAAGATATGCAATTATAAAATGATGTTGGACATATAATGACATTCATCGTTTGAAATTTATGTCTGTAATTTATTCTGTTGGTTAGTTTTTAACTGAAATTCTGCATAAATATCCAGAATGCTCTCAAAAGTTGTTTTTTTTTTTTTTTTTACAAAAAAAATCTTTATTTAAGGCACACACAGACCTCAAGATTCAGTCAATGCTTCTCAACAGCGGTGAGGAGTAGAATATTCAATTAGGAAAAGTAAATTACATAGACTATTCAGATCATAATTTATTCAAACCGCAATGCATGATGGGAGACATTAATGAGTTGTGATTGGTGGCAAGAAGGACTATTAATGTCACCACGATTGAGATAGACAGGCTGATTATTGATATCTGTTTCTACATAAAGATTAAGTGATTTGATCAGAATAGTTTTATTAAATATTTTCTGTTATAACAAAATACAGATATGTTGTATAATCACTAAACTGTTGCTAGCAAGTTAATCCTAACCATCAGAATAACAATTTTTTTGAATTTTCAGACCACAGCATGATTATGTCAAAACATAACCAACACTATCGGATCACTGTTTTCTTTGTTCATTTGACTGTTATAAATCAATAACAGCAGCCAAACAAAGTTTAAAGTAAAAGTATAAGTGTCAAGAGCCCAACTAAAGCAGACACTGATCTCCATAATGGTGGCTTACAATTTGTGATTTTCTCCTTCAGTGATTCTGCTTGTTATCATCAGGTGTCTTCAATAATGCTCAATCATCACTCAATTATTCAGTTAATTGTCTCATTAACTTTAACACTCAGCTCAGAGTTTGATTGGATGGCTTAAAATGACTTCCATGATGTTGAAGTTACATGAACAAATTATGTTTGTTTAACAAAACAAAGTTATGTGGAACCGGTGGAACCTGTTTACATGAAAAAGTTAAGTAAAGCCAACACATCATTTTTTTGAGTGAAGAACACATTAACATTATATTTGTACAAACATTTTCACCTTAGTATTTTGTCATCTGGTGAAATAAAGATGAAGATCTCTCTTCCTCTGTCTGTTTTATTTGCTGATGAAGATGATGTGACTTTACAGAATAAAGAGTCTCTTATTTTCTTCATTCTCTCTCTCTCTCTCTCTCTCTCTCTCTCTTTGTGCGCATGTGCGAGTGTGGATGAGCGAGTTGAGCGTGGCTGTGGGAGCGAGTGTGCAGGTGTGTTTTTTTCAAACTTTTTCTATCTTTTCCTTGACTAGAATTTGTTTGTAGAGTTTCTAAGTAAGGTTGTTGTTTTGTGCGGCGCGCCGTTTTTCCGGGGTTCGGAATTATGGCGAGCGCCGTTCCAGGAGTGTTTGAGTCTCTAACGCGGCGCAATGGTGTGAAAGTTGCGTCAATGCTGAAAATAGAAGAGGTTTGTTTAGCGGCAGGAGAAGTGGTAGGTTATGACTCTGTGGTGTCGGCTTCTAGAATGAATAATGCCATAGTGATGTTTATGAGCTCGGTGGATAAAGCCAATGAATTGGTGGAGCGTGGGTTAGTGATTAATGGTGTTTTTACAGCCGTGCTTCCGCTTTCAGTGCCGTCGAAAAGAGTAACGTTGTCGAATGTGCCCCCTTTCGTGAAAGATGAGTTCTTAGTAAACATGCTATCTCGCTATGGAAAATTGGTTTCACCAATCAAAAAGATTCCACTTGGAAATGCGAATCCACTCTTGAAGCATGTTGTTTCCTTTAGGAGATATGCATTTATGGTTCTAAAGGATAATGCTGAACTGGAAGTATCATTTAATTTTCGGATGGATGAATTTGATTACTTGATTTATGCAACAACAGATAAAATGAGATGTTTTGGATGTGGTAGAGTAGGACATTTGGTGCGTACATGCCCAGATAAAGGTGAAAATTATGGGTTGACCACAGGTGAAGAGGTTCGACCACAGACATTTGCAGAAGCGGTGGAGGGTTCCAAGCAGGGCCTGAAATTAACACCCGACCACACAGTAAATTCCCTGGTGTTAAATTAACACCGCTCGGTGTTTATATGGGAACCACCAGCAGGGTGTTAAAAGTAACACTGAGGCAGTGTTAGAGTTAATGAGATAATTAAGTGATTAATTGAGTGAAGATTGAGCATTATTGAAGACACCTAAAGCAGAATTACAAGGAGAAAACCTAACTTTCAGGTCACCGTTATGGAGGTGAGTGTTTGTTTTAGTTGGGCTCTTGACCCTTTTATTATTAACTTTACTTTACATTTTAATTGGCAGTTGCATCTGAGTTATACCTGCCAGATGAACAAAGAGACAATTTATATGATGGTGTTGGTCATATTATGACATTCATTTGAAATATATGTTCGTGGTTAAGTTTCTAGGTCACAACATAACTGAGATTCTACATAAATATCCAGAATGTCAGATATAATATAATGGATTTCTACAAGTTGTTAAAAAAAAAACTTCTTATAGGCACACATAAACCTCAAAATTCAGTCAATGCTTCTCAACAATGGTGACGAGCAGAATATTAAATTAGGAAAAGTAAATTACATAGACAATTCAGATCATAATTTATTCATACCGCAATGCATGATGGGAGCCATTAATGAGTTGTGATTGGTGGAAACAAGGATTATTAATGTCACCATGGTTGAGATACACAGGCTGACTATTTATGTCTGTGTTTCTAAATAAAGTTGAAAGTGATTTGATCAGAAAAGTTGTTATTAAATATTTTCGGTTAAAAGAAAAATACGGATATGCTGCACAATCACTAAACTGTTACTAACAAGTTAAGCCAATTCATCTGAAAAGTTAGATTTTTCAGATCACAGCATGATTATGTCAAAACATAACCGACAATGTCAGATCACAGTTTTCTTTGTTCATTTGACTGTTATAAATTAATAAAAGCAGACAAACAAATTTAAAGTGAAAGTATAAGTGTCAAGAGCCCAACTAAAGCAAACACTGATCTTCATAACGGTGGCTTACAATTTGTGATTTTGTCCTTCAGTGATTCTGCTTGTTAACATCAGGTGTCTTCAATAATGCTCAATCATCACTCAATTATTCACTTAATTATCTCATTAACTTTAACACTGTATCAGTGTTACTTTTAACACCCTGCTGGTGGTTCCCATATAAACACCGAGCGGTGTTAAATTTAACACCGGGGAATGCGGGTGAATTTTGCTATTGGCGGGTAACACTGTCAATCTACCTGCCACATTGGCGGGTAGCCAATGAGAATTGAGTGATTCATTAGGATTTTTACATTTCAACGAAGTCCGCTATTGCGGTGGACTTTAGCTAAAATGTGGCGGCACATTACTGGGGTAAAGAGGCCAGCTGAAACAAAACAAACAGCCAACAAAAAGATGAGGATGAGAAAAAGAAAAGTAAAGAAGAAGTTTTAATACAAAGTGAACAATCGGCGGCAATGGCAAGGTTCGTGAGCGGCTGATTTATGACAGCGACTGTTGTTTCGTAACGTCATGCGATCAGAAAGAAGATGAGGCTCTTTTTTTCTGACTACGTGTGCGAGTATGAAACTGTTGATGAGATGGGATGAGATAATGTAATGCGTCGCTGTTGTAGGTTAAAGTACAATGACAGTTGCACAGATGTGTGTGCGTGTGCAACTGCATGTTGGGAGTTGGGAACCGGTGAGAAAATGTCCGGTACCCGGTAATTTTATCAGTAATAACATTATTAATTTAGTTCATATTTAACCGTTCCTGAACGCTGTAACTAAAAGCTGTTAACCCCCTGAGCCCGACGGCGTCGTCGACGATGCCACACGTCACCTCCGATAAATGTTTACATAACTCGATGACAGATTTATCGATTTTCTTACCGTTTTTTCCAGCAGAAAGCTAACGAGCTAGCCATCACGGGGGTGTCTTTCGGGTCTTTCTAGCCTTTACAGAAGGTTTTCTATCCAGCCTGGAACTTGTGCTTCCTTTCAGAGGTTTTCAGCAATAAATCCAAACGCTTTATGTCAAACTTTGATAATCTTGAAGCCCATAATTCATAAATATTCGGTCATTTTTGCCGCTAGCTCAATGCTAGCGGAAATCCTGGATATCACGTGATGTTTTCACGTGATGGTTTTTGACCAATTACAGGCTGATCCGTAGTAAACATTGGTGTGCGTCATTACGC